CTTCACAATCATCACGTTGATTGCAAATTGATTTGAAACACCTTGAGCATGTCTTTAATCTTGTTTTGGATCATTAGACCATGTTCTTTGCTACCATTTGTTAAATTCGAAATTGGTTGAGGAGTTCATGCGCAAACTTGCAATTGCAAATGAAGACATTGAATAATTAGACGACAAAAACTTATACTAAAAATCAGAATACTATTATAAGAAATTTGGTCAGTTGGCTTACATATCAAAAAATTAATAAAGAAATCATTAAAATTGTAGAGCGAAAATCTCCCCATATATAAAGCTCTTAAATGCTTACATTGTGGATACTACTTTTTTATGTTATGAGAATAGCGATCTTCAATTTATAGGTTTCCAAACTTTTCCTCAACGGAAATAATCAACTAAAGATGGAAGAAAAAATATTTTATTTTCATGAATAGTAAAAACATTTATGATAATATTTTTGTAACGATTTAAAAAAAAGGGAAAAATAAATCGAATAAATAGGTATTTAAGGTGATTTAATTATTAATTAAAAATCTGAAATTTTAAGGGCATAATGGTTCTTTCGCGTATTAATTAAAATAAATGAGATTTGTATTAACTTAATTTAAATTCTATTTGACTAAGTCTTGAATTTAGTCTCCTAATCCTAATAGCTCTCTCTCTCTCACACGCTTCTTAACTCTCTCTCACGTTCTCCATCTCTCTCACATTGTTCTGCCAAGCACAACAAAAACCAGAGAATACATCAAGAGTTCTTCACACTTGAAGAACTCACATGAAATTTTAAGAAAAACAAAGCAACCAAAAATATTTAGGCGAAGAGAAGTTGTTCGTTGAGGTAACTTGGACTGATTTTTTGAGAGAGTTTTGGGCAACAAATTCTTCGTTTGAACATCAATAAAGGTATGGGTTTCTCTTATGGAATTCTTTCTCCAAGAGTACTTTCTTTCGAACGTTTCTTACACTCTTAAAACTAAGGTTGTTCCCCTTCGTATGTCCTTATCCTTAGCTCCCTAACGAATTTGTAGGATGGGTATGTTGTGCTGCTAAATTTTTGCATGAATGATGTGTTTAAATTAAATACGAATGTGTTTATGTGCGAAAAATCACGATAATGATCATCAAAATATGACCGGAAAAGTTGATGTATAGGCATGTATAGGGCAGTATTTTAGTCACTATTTTGGGGTGTATAAGTTGTGTATTTTATGTATGTAATGGGTGTACAATGTGATGTTCATTATGATGAAGTATAATGAATTGAATAACCATCTTATAACTATTTAAACTTATGAAAAAATGCACCTAAAAATGGTTGGAGAAGGTTAAAAATTTCTAGATTTTTGTACCCTTCAAAAGTGTCAAATTCTGAGTTTTTAAAATAAAATAAATTAAGTGAGGTCAATGGGAATCGAACCCAAGAACTCACCTATGAAAGAAACTGAAAAAAATTAAACCAAAAACGTAAGGGGCTAAGGGGAATTGAACCTCTTAGCTGCTGTTGTAGCGAGACACAGAAATAAGAAAAAAAAAGGGGGGGGGGGCTGGGCTGGGGGATCGAAATTGCGACCAGCCCCTGATTTCGCAAGGAAAGAAGAGAAAAATAAATGGGGGTTGGGGGTTCGAACTCGCGACCAACTCTTGCCCTCGCCAAAAGAAAAGAAAAATTAAAGGGGAGGTCGTGGGTTGAGGCGTGCGATTTGAACCCACGACCTCCCAGTACGCGCGAAGGAAAGGGTTTTAAAAAAAATAATGATAATAATAGAGGGGCTGTGGGGGTTCGAACCCACCACCTCACATCCCCCTCAGCGAAATTGAAACAAAAATAAGGAGGTTGTGGGAGTTCGAACCCACAACCTCCACATTGTAGTGAATTTAATTAAATTAAAAAGTTGAGAGGCTGTGAAGGCTCGAACCCCAACCCTTCGGTTAATTAATAGTAAAATTAAAATAGAAAATGTATCCCTTCATGTAAATATTGAGATTTAAATTAGAATTCTAATTAAAATAGAAAATCAACTCTTTCATGTAAATATGGAGATTTAATTTAGAATTCTAATTAAAATAGAAAATTAATTATTTCATGTAAATATTGAGATTTAATTTAGAATTCTAATTAAAAATAGAAATTAATTACTTCATGTAAATGTTTAGATTTAATTTAGAATTCTAATGTTATGAATATTAGAAATAAAATCAATGAAAAATATAAATGATATCCAAGTAATTGAAGATTTAGGTTCCGTGCCCAAACCTCCATATTGATACATAAGTCATACGTGTGTAAAATATTCAAGAATAATGCCATCTACTTAGATCAAAAATCAAGATCTTGGCATATATACAAGATACATAAGTCTTGTAATGCATAATCTTAGGAAAATAAGAATCACTCAGCGAACTATAAATGAAGCCCCATGACTTGTATGTATAGACACATAAGTCTAACATACGTTCAAAAATAAGTGAACCTAAGATATACGTAATGAAATGAAGAAATGAACATTCACGTAATAAGAGGTAAATAACTATGAAAAATAAAGGTGTTAATAATGAAGAATGTGGTGACAATCATGATATGAGGCTAATGTATATGATGAGAGCAATCTCAAATGAGACTAAGTAAATGTTACCGATACGTACTCACCAATGAGAGTGTAAGATAATGAAGAGACCAGTCGCTATGAACACTCAATGAAAAAATTGAGTTTAAAACACTTTATACTAATGATGAGATGAGAAATCATTTATTGAGCTATGATGTCCTCGTACTAGAAGCCAACTTCCATGATGTATGAGTTGAATGTAATGAAACTTTATATCGAGCACCGATAGGCTAGCTATGAGCGGTGATACCTTCTTTCGGAAAGAGCGAAGGTTCACGTAACTCTCATGAGATGAGACTGTCCGGCTTGCCGGGTATGGGTCTCTATACATCTCCTAGTCTTTGAACCTATACTGCCAATATAGGAATCTGGCGGGGTTTAATTCCCATATAACGCTAGCATGTTATTGAGTTACTTTGGCCGGTGATTCCACCTCTTCTCGGTGTGGAGGAGACACTGAATTTCATGATGCTCACATGATCTATGTCGGTTAAAGTTAAAGTTCCCAATTAATGAATGAGGCTAGCCTCAAACGAATCATATAAAGAGATAAATGATATCGAAGATGTTAGGATAGGATAATCAAGAGGTGAGCTAGATTCAGGTAATGACATTATGTTATTCCTGATCATTGCACAGCAAACTCGATGAACGTCTTAAACTACATCCTAGGTATAGTTAGTGTTCACACTACTTATGAATGAACTGGAATGAAACACGTATGAATGAATGAAACAGACTTTGTGTTTACTAAAGAAGGCTCCCTAGTTGAGCTCCCATATGTTGAGCCCTCATTTTGGAAAGTCTTAAGGTCAAGTCCATGATAACAAGGTCTCATGGCTTACGAATGAACAATATGAAAGAAGCTATGTGTTATATGTTATGTGTTATATGCAGATGTTAGGTGTTGTGTGCAATTTGATAATTATAATGATGCATGTCACTCTTATGGCATAACTTTCCCAATCTCAATTCGGCAAGTCCACTGACTTGACTTTCAAAAATCATGTTTTTAGGAAAGAGCTATTCTTTCTCATGTATGTCCCTGGTGTGTGCTTGCATATACCTATACTTAGTACAAGTGTGTACTAATCTCATACAAACATCTACTTTTAGGTGCAGACATAGGTGGACGGTAGAGCTACAGGTTCGTTGTTGTAGCTATCCTAACGTCAGCATTCATCCGGAGTTGTAGGTCCTCATGCTTTCGAGGATGCTATTGTTTTACATTCTAGCGTAGTTTTAGAGTTGAGCTAGTGGAGCATGCTCCACTAGCGTTTCTTTCCTGTTTTAGTTTAGACTTTGAATTGGTGTTGTTTTGGCCGTTATACAAATAATACTTAATGAATTATTTCTTTCAATTACTTATCACTTAAATGTTAGATGGTTGATGATGAACGATTATGAAATATTAAGAATATTTAGCAAGTATGTTTAAAGAATCAAATTTTATTTTTTTTTCAAATTTTTCGCTAAAATTAACCTATGTAAAGTAAGAATGACGTGAGTAGGCTTGTTTGCGATCCCTGAAAGGTCAACGACGCCGGTCTCGTCTGGGGCCTAGATTCCGGTCGTGACAGTTTTGTCTTTTCTTTTAGAAAAAAATAAACTTCAAATAAGATAAGAAACCAGAGTAAAACCTTAACAGTACCACATTGAACCCTAATTAAATCCGAATGAAAAGTTCCAGATTGAGTTCGATTTTTCATTCGGTGCATGATATACATATTGAAGTCTGACTAAATTCGAATTTATCCCAAATTGGAGATAAAACGCTTAAGCACTCTCTAACAAATGCATTCTGTACCGAACACAATTCGAACTCAGAATTTCTGTTCTAGGATGAATGACTACTTAGCACTCCACGACAATCCGACTCGTAATCTAATGACATAATATATTCATTTAATTTGACCTAATTTCACATTTATGTCCTCCAATCATGAGTGTGCACAAATACATACTTAAACTTGCATAAAATTGAACAAGCAGATGCATGAGTCTTTTATATGTTGCGTAATATATGCAGGGTACCACGTATGACTCATATTGCCATGTAGGATGCGTGTGTCTATTTGTTCAACTCTATAGAAATTTAAGTGTCTACTTGTGCACACCAAAAATTGGAGGACAACAATATGAGCTCAAACCAAATTAGATGACATATTTATGCATTACGCTTAATACAACATTTTTTTAAACTTAGCCTTATCTTACGCCTATGCCTTCCAATTTAAAATGCACACAAATAATTACTTAAATCGTATAAAATTGATTAAATCGACTCATGAATCATTCTTGACTTGATATTTTATATGACGTTCACATATACGCAACATCTTATTTAACATTCTACATATATTATGTCACATAAAACGTCGCTCTAAAATAGAAAGAACCAATATTGCAAGAGAAATAGAGTGCAGTCTCTGGTCTCCCTCTGTAGGCTTGCATAACAGTTTGCCACCCCCACCTTATTCTTCAACCTAAAACCACCATTTCTGCTTCTCCCCTCTCCACCAAGTACTTCTGTTTTCTCTTTATCCACCGCCGTTAACTTCCTCGGCCGGCCACCTGAACAACAATCGGCGTCTTAAACCCTCAACCCAACTGTCAAAACCCTAAAAAGGTATGGACTTCCAACATCAGCATCCGTACAATCGACCACCACCACCACCACCACCGTTACCACCACCGTCCATGGCGGATCCTCACTATCAGCTCCCGCATTCTCAACGACCACCGGTTCCGGCACCGGGTTCATGGTACTCGAACCAATTCCAATACCACCCAACCCCTCAGCAATCTCCCCCTCCTCCTCCTCCTCCTCCTCCTCAGCTGCAACAGTGGGGTCCTCCCCCTCCCCCTCCTCCTCCGTTTCCTGGACCTCCTCAGGGAGCTTATCCACACCATCATTTACAACAACAGGCCCAGTATCCACCTCCTCTTCCCCCGCGGCCTCATATTCCCCAATCTTCTCCTCATGGAAATCAGGTGATATACTGTGTTTCATTTTAATCCCCTTTTTCTTAAAAGAATTTGCACCTTTTTATTTTGCTTACCCTGCTTCCTAAAGGTCCCTTTGTGTATGAATTCAAGTTGGGATTGTGTAAGCATTTACTGTCAGGGCATAAAATTTGAAATATCATTGTTGTAATAGGTGGAATGGTGCATTTTGAAAATGGTTATATGATATGAAAACTAAATGAGGCATAATTTAATTGTTTATGCAGTTATTGGAGCTAGATTAGTAAAGTATTCATTACAGTTTACAACCAACCTTAATTATTGTTCTAGTATTTTATTTATCTAGTAGTCTAGAAAGAGTTATGTATGAGATAATACAAACTCATGCAAAAAACATTTGCTTTACTTAATCCTTCAACTATCTGTCCTTTTATTTTGGTTTGTGGATTTATGTATTAGCTTTGACTAATGATTCCAGTTGCTACGACTATTGTCTAGAAACCAGTGTGCTAGTGCTGATAGTTTGGAAAACTAGTGAAAAGTTGAATATTTTTGGGTTACTAGTATGAGAGAGAGGAGAAAAACGACCAGTAACGTTATACGGGGGTAAGTGTAGCGGCACGGTTTCCATCTAAAATGGCTGATTTAATGGACAAGTGTATTAAGAATTGAGTTCATAGAAGACTAGACGAATGCCCTATTCCTCTCCACTCTATCATTTGGTGCATAAACTCTAGTTAAATGCTAGTAATTGACTTTTTCTAATGAATGGATGTGTCAAAACTTTTAAATCAAAATACTTAATATTTAGCTCTAATTAATTCTTATTTAATTTAATATGAAGTGAATGGATGAAACAAAAAAACGGAAGGTGTGAAAGAGAGGAGAGTTTAGCCTAAAAAGAAACCACATTTAGACTTTAACCTTTCATCGGTCTCTGCCGACGATAACGATAACAAGGAGACACATAAAACAAGTTTTTAAAAAATAGTTCCTTGTGGAGCATTTCGCTTTCGATTTTGACTAAGTTGAAGTTTTTTTTTAAAAAGTTTTATTTAAAAACCTTAATGTTAAGTAAAAGAAAGTCAAAGACTCATCAGGTGGGAATTCAATTGACTATTGATACTTTTGTTCTTTTTAGAGAAAGTTTTATGAGAAAATCAATCTCTTGGCCACTTACTAAGGAATTAAAGAAATTGACCTTTTAAGATCTCTTACGTGTAAACATGAAGATCTTTTATGAAAAGGTTATAAATCAAAAATTAAGGATTATTTAATAATAACAATTCAAATATAATAGATTAATTACCCTTCGGGTTGGCTTGAAGAACTATTGAATGTACTTACAATATTGGGGAGCTTGCAGAATAAGTGATGATGCAGTTGAGAACATGAAGTGGGGTTACACAAAGGAGGGTTTATACAGTGTGAAAGCAGGTTACTTCCATATGCTGTCAAAATGAATTATAGAAAGCAGGCTTTGGAAACTAATCTGGAAAACTAAGTTATGTACAAAGGTTATTTCCTTTAGCTGGAGAGCTTTATAGGACTATTGTAAATAGATGTTTCATGCGTCTCCAGCATTCAGAAACCAACAAATGCCTCTTCTCCGCTGTCCAATTGCTGTAGATATTTGGAATATGTTTCTTTACATTTCCAGACTCAGGTGGGTCAATAGTTGGCATCAAGAATGCCTATGAATGCCGAAGTTTGTGGAAAGTTGATAAAGCTATGTTAGTATCTAGAAGATGATACCATCATGATTTTTTGGTGTGTTTGGACAAAAAGGAACCACACGTATCTTGGTAGGATATCATTTATTAACCAATCTCTCAAGGCTAGATTCTCCTATCGTTATATGGTTGGCACAACTTAGCTCCTGTAAATTCCCCTATTAAATTTTCGACTTTGTCAGCTTCCTAGCTTTCTCAGTAATGGAAATGACTCTATTATACTGTTTATCTTTTGTACTGTCTGCACCTTCTTGATTCCATTAATGAAATCTGCTCATAATTATTGTAATGAATCTTCCTATTTTGTTTGGAGAGTTCTGCATAATTAAAAACAGGGACAGTCTCTGTTAGACATATTAGAATGAGTCCAATATTGTGCTAAATGGATATTGAGGATTGATATATAGCCTAGAAGAAAATTTGGGATTGATTTGTAGTAGCAGTTGTTATTGCTGTGTTATACTGCTTCCTATTCTGCTGATAGATTTGTTCTAACATATATGGTTAATGAATGTAAGACTCATGTGCTTGCAGGACTGGGGCAGTATGAACTGGGGTCAACAGCAAAATTGGGGAAACTCAGGTTTGGAAATATAGTATTGATTGGAGTCTATGCTTGTTTAGCAATTCAATATGCTGGGATGCATCTGCAAGTTTCCTGAAACCCATTTATGGTTGAAAATTGTTTTGAAGCTGATGCAAGCTGTGTCTTCTATTTTACTTGTACTATTTCTCAAGAGTCGAGGCCAGTTCCTAAAATTTGTTGATGTTTAACTTTTCTTTACTGCTTCGTGTTCTTTTTGTGGCAAGTCAGACATGCTTAAATGTTACCAGAAAATAATTGGACTTGTGTTGTTTGTTAGAATTCTGGATTATTTAGGAGTGTCATCATTTTACATACTCCAAGTTTTATTTAGCTCTGCAATGGTCTCCACAAGTGTCTGTGGAACTGAACAATGCTGCTTTTCTTGAGTCAAAAAGATAAAAATCCTAGCTGTTGATTGGAGGAGGTTTGCTAAAGAAGGTATTAATCACTTAACAAGGTCAAATTCTTATTTAAAAAATCACATTAGGTTTTAGAAGCTCAAATATGAAACCTATTTAATTGTTTAAGAGAAGAGGTCTATAACTCTAGTAGAATTTAAGGGGCGGCCTTTCAAATTAGAACTCCGGTATTACATCCCTCTATCAGATCCTTCCTGTACTTCTTTTTTGGGCTTTTATTTCTCTTTAGCCCTGGCTAAATTTCAGACTCTGTAGAAGCAGTATGTAGTTTCTATGTGATATACACTTGCATATTATATAACCTTCTAGTTTTTCCATCATGGAGGACTCCTCCTGCCGTTGGTTATTAATATACAGATCGTATGCTCTTTGCATCCCCCCCCCCCCCCACCTTCTGTTACCTAAAGGTTAAATCTACTATTAACTAGTAGCACCTAGCAATGAAGATTGGGCTGCAAAGGCCCGAGCATGGGCTGCTGACAAGGCTGCTAATGACCATCAGCACCAGAACTCGCAATTTACGCATGATAGCAGGCCAGAACAACAGAGTCATTACTATGAACAATATACTCAATCTGCTGATCAACATCTCCAAGACATGCAACAACCACCAGTTCTGCCGTCAAGTAATCATCACTCCATAACTCCTGTGGCACCTCCTCAGAAGCCATCGTTTGGCCATTCGCAGGAACCCTCATTCTTCAGCCCTGGGCAATCTCCTTATGTCCTACCTTATACTGCAAGAGATGGAAATTTCACCGGAGATTCAGTTGCTTCATTCCCTCAGCAAGGAAACTCATCCATAAGTCCATTAGTCCATCAGCAGGAGGTACCTTCTAGTTATTCTTCTATTGCAGGTAAAAAATTTAATTAATATATCAATTATTGCATCTGAAGTTACCACGTCTATATAATTTTGTCCTGCTTGTGGTTTCTAGTTACTTGTTTTGGCAAGCTGTGTTTACTGAAGCCCCTTGAGACCTAAGTAGAATTTCATCCTTGTTGGATCCTTTTCCTTTTTAAAGCCTCTGTATGACGGAATTCACTTCAGATAATTTGATGCTACTGTATTTTGATTTCATGGAATATTGGTTCCATCGTGCTGACATGTTCTTTCCGCTGTCCATCCTGCCAACTTTGTGTTCTGTTTTTCAGGAATACTTTTGTTTATGGTAACTTTTTCCCAAGGATTACAAAAAAGAGGAACAGTTGAAAATTAGATACTGTTTTGAAGTCCACTTGGATTGATGTTAATCAAGCTATTGGATAAACTTATAGGCAATGACCTTATCAAAAATGAAAAAGAGAAACTTTTACGCAATCTGCTTTATTCTATTCAGCCTAGAGTAGGCAAAATGGAATTCAGTGATCTGCTTGTTCTTGTCAATTAATCCTGATTGATTGCACATTCCTTGAATGTGTGTCTGTTCAGTTTTCTGCCCTTCTGGCTAATCGTGAAACAACAGATTTGATTACTGACATGGCAGAAACTTCGTCTCCTTTTGTCCAATAATTTTTTCCTCTTCCATGTCTTCTCTATTGAGATTAAATTGGCGGAGGGGAGGATGATTTGGCCGCAAAGCTTTTTGGTCTAGTGAGTGGAATGAGTGATATGTGGGTTAGGCTAGCACCTCATGGTGCCACATATAAGCATGATATTAAGTGACGAAGGGGCGGACCCATTATCCGCCTAGTTTTGAACCTTGCACCAGGGGTCCTTGTATTTTTCAGTTATCAAATTAAAATTTGGTGGAGAGGATTTAATTTATTTGAAGATTTGGTTCTTATTTATTGCATTAAGTGTTTTCTCAGTAGCTTGACAATTATCTGAGTGATTAAGCAGAGATTACTGTCACAGCCTAAAAGTAGGTGAAAATTGTAGGAAGCATTTCACTTATGAAGGAGTACAAATATTATGGACACACGAAAACTGAAAATTAGAATGACAAAGTGTAATTCTGCTTGCAAAAACAAAACCCAGCACAGAGCACTTGAAGACACAATTGCTTAGAGGGTTTTACGTATTCAAAGTTTTTGTTATCCATTTGCACTGTGTCTTTGATATTGGTTAGCACCAGTGTTATGGGGGCTTTAAGCGCAAAGCTCTAAGGTCCATGGGGCTTTGATCGCAAAGCGCAAATAAAGCGTGGAATTTAATGAAAAAAGGCGCAAAGGGAGAAAAGAATATAAATATATATGTTTAGTCCAAGACTAATAATTATAAACATGAATGGCAAATATGTGACCAAAGAAATTGAAATTTTTTTACGATAAAGTGAAATATCAATTATTTAGTTTCACTTCTTCATAAGAGGCTCATTGGCAAGGAAAAGTTTGCCTTAGAGCCTTGATGACGACACTGAAGCGCACATAAAGCGAGACGAAGCGTTCAACACGTTTTGAGCCTCACTTCAGGGCTTAAGCGTGCCTTTGGTAACACTGGTTAGCACTGTGTTGCTTATCTACCTATACAGCTATACCAATATAAGTGTTTTTTATAGACTAATATATCAAATATTGTAATTGAAAATTATTCATTTATTCTTCTTTTCCTCAAATTATTTGTTTTGTTCTGCCTTCATGACATGGAAGGCTCTGTAAAAGATGCCAGTTTTATATCTATGAAGTTATTGAAGAAGCAACAACAACATACCCAGTGTAATCCCATAGGTGGGGTCTGGGGAGGGTAGAGTGTACGTAGGCCTAACCCCTACCCTGTGAGGTACATAGGTTGTTTCCCAAAGACCCTCGACTCTGGTAATGCATATTAAAGCAGTTTTGAAAAGGAAAATTACATAAGTAAAGAGGAAAGGTTATTGAACAAGCAAAGACCAAAAATTGAGAACCGCAGTGTGAAGCAGTAAAAGTTAGATGCTGCTGACAGAGAGGCTCTTTTTGAAGTGTTCTTCTCTCATATAAGATTGTTTTACCTTCAACAAATTGTTGGCTTTTGTGGCTTAAGATTGTAGACTGATGAGCTATGCAAGGGAAATAATAAGCTTAAAATAATAGTTAGTCGAAAGATTGAGGTTCCTTTGAAAAAATACATGATTGTTTAGTTATATTGTACAGTTTATGCACAAGATATAAAAACTTAGCTCACAGCGAGACTTCTTTTTTATTGTCTCAAAGCTGTTTGACATCTCTTGCTTGATGGAACTACCTTTTTCATAGGAATCAGTAGGTTGGTTCTTCTAGCATTTTTCTTTGAGAAAGTTATCTTGTATTATGAACAAAGGAATACTCCAGAAGTATTCCAGCAATACTTACAGCCAAAATACAGGGAAGAGAAAACTACTGCTACATCACAACTCACAAGTAATCTAGAATACTAGGAACATCCCCTCTTCTTCTTGAGGATATTCATATTTACACCAAAAAAGGAAAGGACCAGACAAATCTTCAGTTTCTGCAGTGAGCAGCTCTTATTCTCAAAGCATCTCTTGTTCCTTTCCATCCATATAGTCCACCAAATGCATGTTGGGACAATCTTCCATCTCTCCCTGTGTCTGTACTGATTTTCTTCTCTATTCCAACAAGCTAAAATTTCTTTGATGCTCCTTCGCGTAGTCCACCTAATGCCCCTCAAGTTAAAGAAAATCTGCCACAACTTCACAGTCTCTATACAATGTAGAAAGAGATGGTTTATTGTCTCAATCTCACATTCACAAAAAGAGCACCTAGAACAAATTTAAAAGCTTCTTTTCATTAGATTGTCGTGGGTGAGTGTAACCTGTTTGGCTAGAAGCCAAGTGAAACATGCTACCGTGAAAGGTATCCTGATTTCCCAGACCATCTTCCAGGGCCTACTACCGCTACATGAGTTTGATCTTTTCTAACCTTTGGTAAAGTTGAACCCATCGTAAATCTTCCTTTCTTGTCAGCCTTTCAATATAAATTGTCCTCCTTGGAATTTAGTTCTTTGTATTTTCCCAGAATATTGAATAGCTCAGCCACTCTGTTGATTTCCCATTTATTCAGATGTCTTCTAAACCTTAGGTCCCACCCTTGGCTGTCTCTCATTTCTCTGATTGTGGATAACTTTTGAAGACTTAAAATCTAAGCTGCATGGACTCTCCATAAACGTTGCCGCACCCGTGTCGGATCCTTCAAAAAATACACTATTTTTGGAGGATCCGACATGCACCCGTCGACATTTTTGATGAGTCCGAGCAACATAGCTTAAAATGAACAAATTAGGGAACTTGTTCTACAGAATTTCCTGTCCCACCCACACATCTTCCCAAATCAGCGTCTTTCCCCCTTATTTATCATGTTTCTGAACATATTACAGAGTTGAGAGTCAATCTTACGTCAGGAAATGTTTTTGTTGCCAAAGTCTTGTGGTTGCAAATCCAGTTGTAGATGTTACAGAGAATAGTTTCCTTTGATTTGCATGTATGTACTTTTCTGAATGCCCATTCTATTCTCAGGTAAAGAAGAGGCTGGGAATCGACATGAGGCGTTCTATGGTTCTTCACCTTTGCCTGCCAACTCTTCACATCATCATCATGCCCAACTAATGCCAGCACCCAATAAAGCTGCAGTGATGGAAGAGCGTCATTACGTGATGGGTCCTGATCTTAGTGATCAGCCTTTGGATTTTGCACCTCGTTTTAGTCATGAGCATGACCGGCATTCCCAACCCTATTATGTTCGTGCTGATTCAGGAGGTTCTGTGGGGGGTGCTGATCCTGTTTCAACAATGCCTTCCAATTATGTGTGGCCTTCTTCTGCTGCTCCTGGTTCTGCATATCCTCCTCTTCCTCCAATGCCTCCAGTTGGGTCTCAGGTTTTAGTTTTAACTTCAAAGTTAACTTAAACCCAATGATGCTGTGATTGAGCTTTCCTGTTATCACTTACATACCGCAGGTTGATCCTTCTGTTGTTGGAGCTTCTCCAGCCCCTGAACATACTGCATCACTCTTTGGAAGGGCACAGAGTTCAAGCTTCCATCCCACTGTCCCGTCAGTTGGTGCACATTTTGGTGTTGGTGCGGGGGCCGCTCTGCATCCTGCAGCAGCTTTCCCTGCTGATGCATATGGGATTTCTGATCGCCCTAAGAAGGTTTGTACATTGTTCTATGGGCTTTCAGTTTGTAAACCCTTAACCCTAAACTATAGAGTAATGATTCATCTGTATTATTTGTCTGGTTTTTCCTAGGCTGCTGTTCCAAACTGGCTTAGAGAGGAAATAATAAAGAAGAAAGCTGTCATTACAACTTCAACTGCAGAGCTTCCAAAGGAGGATTCTCAATCTATTGAAGATGAAGGTGTCAATAAATCTTATCGGAAAGGTGACCAGGCTGATAGCAAAAGCATTGATTCTTCAAGGTCAACCGAGGATGATGATGATGATGAGGTCGTTTACTTTCCTTGATTACTCATTTGACAGAAGATGCTGCTTTTTTGTTGAATTTGTTTCGTCTAAGAAGTCTGTTTACTTGGTTTAATACCCTTTGTCGAACTATACTGTTCCAATGTATTTATAGGGTTGGAGCTTCCCCCTTTCCAATTCTTCTTGAGTTATTCGTATTTCCTTTTGGGTAGTCTTTAATTATTATCTTATTCACACCATACTAAGTGTAGGCTTACCTGAATTTTTATTGGTCCATGCAGGTTGAGGTGGAAGCAGCACGAACTGCAGCAATGAATCAAGAAATAAAGCGTGTCCTAACTGAAGTTCTTTTAAAGGTTATTGATGATAAATATGTGATCGATTTCTTTACATGGTTTTTGCAGATGTATTGACTGGATGCTGTTTTTACAGGTTACTGATGAGCTATTTAGTGAGATTGCGACAAGGGTTCTTAGCGAAGAGGATCTCTCTGTTGATGGTTGGTGTCTCCTATTTCAATTCCTTTCCTCTTTAAATTTCTTCCTTCTCCTTACCTTTGCACTCAGGTCGTTTATATTTGAGACTTAGTTGTTCTTCTTCCTCCCTTAAGTTGAGCAAAAAACGGGTGCTTCAAGTCAGAAGGTGTTAACATCTGTTCAAGCTGTTACAACTCCCAAGGCCTCTGCCAAGGTTCTGATACCACTCAAACCTAAAGATACTCATTCTGTTAATGCCAGTGAAAAGTCTACTTCCACTTCTCCTGTGGATCTATTAGGCTTGGCTAACTATGCGTCAGATGATGAGGATGACAATGAAATCCAGAGTTCTGATAAACAAAAGACCAAAGAGCATGGAAATGGAAAATCACGTGAAGAATCCGAGGATCATGATAGATCTCCTGCCAACCTGGAGAAAAATCCTCAAAAAATGAGTCCCAATGTCGGCACTGATGACAGGTCAACTAGATATTCTGCACATGAAGATGCTGGGGGCTCCTTTAAGACTGAATCTAGAGTTCCAGAGGATAAGATGCCAGGTGGGAAGGATGCTGTGAAAACTGAAAAGACATCCCAGACTCCTGACTGCAAAAAGACTAAGATAGATCATTCCAGAAGCGAAGACAAAAGAGATAAGCCAGATAAGAGCGGTAAACGTGAAGTTAGAAAAGGTTCTGGCACAAATGATAATGGTATGCTTACAAGCTCAAAGGACAGAAAAACTGAGATAGATGAAGGAAACCATGGGAATCATGAGGAAAGACTAGCTAGAAAGGAAAAAGTGGGTGATCTAGATGGTTCAAAAGATATTGTGAAGGAGAAAAGCCGTAAGTCCGGGGAAAAAGCCAAGGAATCTGACTCAAGGAAAAGGCCTTCGCCTTCTAATGTCAAGGAAGAAAGGAAGGAAAAAGGAAGGGACAGCAGAGCTGGTGTTGCCATAGATAATGGTAGAAAAAGAGAGAGAACGAAGGATGAAAAGAGAGAAAAATCTAGACGTAAAGATGAAAGGGGCTCCAGCAGACGTAAAAGGCATCGTTCATCTTCTAATGATAGCAGGGGTAGAGAGAGCAAGGACAAGTCAACCCGTGCCAATGATCCCAGTGATGAATCTTCAGATGATTCTAGAAGGTTCATTTTTATTTTCTTCTATTTGTGATGCAATAATTTGACCCTCATGTAATAGCTCATCTTTTTCTTGTGGAGTGCAGGAAGGCGCAACCAAATAGACACAGATCTCCATCACCACTAAGGTCAAGGAAAAGGTATCTTTTGAAGGGCCTGGATGCTATAAAGTCCAATTGTTTCCATTAACTCAAAAAGCTCAAGATCATATGTTTTATTTCACTAATTATTTGACTATTTGTTGGTCATGATCTTCCGCCTCCCTAGGTATTGACATCTTTTTTTCTTATTTTTTAATTTGAAACTGGTAACTTTAGTCTTATTTATCCACAGGTATACTACAACAAAAGATGTAGCTCCCCTTCAAAAGTGCTACAACTTATAGAGAAGACGGCCTTAATCTCCATTAGTACCTGTAAACAATCTAGCACATCAAAGATGTTTTCTGTCCTAGTTAATATATCTTATTAATATCAAAAATAAAAAAGTGCTAAGCAATTCATTTTGATCTTCTGTAAGCTGTTCTGCACATTCTCAGAACTCCTGTTGTTTCTGTCTTTCCAAAGTGTCCACTGAATGCATGGTGGGACAAGTTTCCATCTCTTCTCTTTATCTGAAGATTTCCCATCTCTATCCCAGCTGCTTAGAACTCCTTTAGTGCTCCATGGTTTCACCCATCTTATCCCCTGTAGTCTGATGAACATTCTCCATATCTGGTCTGTCCGTGTACAATGCAGAAAAAGTTGGTTAATTGTCTCTGCATGCTCTCCACATAAAGTACATCTAGGGGCCAACTGATAGCCTCTTTTGTTTAAACTTTCATGAGTCAAAACTGCTTCTTTTGTCAACAACCACACGAAACTGTTTACTTTATAGGGTGCTTTTGGTTTCCAGCTCATCTTCAATGGCCAATCTGTATTGACCTTCGGTGTCATTCTTCCAAATCGGCAAGTCCTTTTCAATGAGGTTGCTGGATGAGCCTACTGAATCTTGAAAATCTGTCACTTTGTCTATCTCCCTGTCATGAAGGTTCCCTCTTAGGAACAAATTCCATCCTTGTCCTGTTCACGTTGTAGCCACAGAGTCCTGCTAAGTTGTTCGGACTCTTCAAAATTGCTACTGCACCCGTGTCAGATCCTCCAAAAATGCACTACTTTTGGAGGATCCCACACGCTCCCGTCGACGTTTTTGATGTTGGCATAAAATAAACAAATAGGAACTTCCCCATTCCATTTGTCCTCTTAGAAGGATGTCTTAAAACCACTCCCACTTGTACCCTAGTTCTATAATATAGCACTGGCCATAAATTTCTGATTTCCCTCCAAACAGTGCATTTGTACGGAGTACGTACCATTTTAGTCATCCACGTATCTTCTATACCATATTTTGCTGTGATGACCTCTTTCCAGAGCATGTGTTCTTCATTAAGTAACTTCCGCAACCACTTCATCATTAGGCTGTGATTTTGGTTCCTCTGGTTTTTTATGCCTAGACCTCCTGTATTCTTACTCACTATCAGTTCCTCCCATTTAACTAGATGGAACTTCTTCTTATCTTCACTGCCTTGCTATAGGAAATTTCTTTAAAGGGCATCAATGCTCTTAGATACATTGGCAAGCATAGAAAAGATATACATCAAATAAGAGGGTAATGCATTAATCACACTGTTGATTAAAGTCAATCTTCCTCCCCAGGACAAGTACTGGCACTTCCAGTTAGTAAGTCTCTTTCCACATTTCTCCAGGACCCCATTCCATATGCCTTTGGATGTGCTTTTAGCTCCCAAAGGCATGCCTAGGTAAGTCATTGGGAGCTGCCCAACCTTGCCTCCTAGGTTACTGGGCAAAATATCTGTAGTAAGCACACTGTTGAATAGGATAGATGAAGCTCTTCCCCCAGTTTATGTGGAGACGAGAAATGGCTTCAAAAATGACAAAAATAACCCTCAATATCTGAATTAACTGTTCACTACTTAATTGGGTATTTGGGTTAGTAATGTGAGGGGGGGGGGGTTGTCTGATAGTCCCGAACCTAAATAATGAACAGAAAGACACTTGACCACAATAAAATGTCAGAATGAAATTTACATCTTTTACATATAGTGCACTAATGTAGTGTGCTATATGAGACTTGGATAAGGGACTTCTTAAAAATACGTTCCACGTATTTTGCATTGTATCCCTAGCACTCTAATACTATTTAGGTTCCACACTCTAGTACTGTTTTCCTTTTTCTTTTTGCGTTGTTTTTCTTTGATCTTTAACTCCATTGTTTACTATTTCTACTGTATGCAAACATTTCTGATTTCCTGTATATCTTCCACTCAACAAGGTATGCGAGTCTTAGAGATATTGTGGGAGCAAACTAACATCAGGCAATGATCTAGCAGACAACTTTCTGCTGAATGAAATAAAAGACTTTGGCACATACTAAAAGTTTCTGCGGATCTTGTGGAACATGCTAAAGTTAGACTTCCATATATAGGAAAGTGTGACTCTTTTCAGAAAAGAATCCAGACTTTAAAGGAGCGTCCTAAAAAATGAAATGAAGCATTTGTGTTCTTTTTATTCAGAGGAGAACTTCAACTGAAGCTAGTAAAGACCTTACTTTAAAGTTTATAGTAAATATATAACTAGTGTGATGAATTATTTCATGAAGAACATCCATGGAGGTGTGGACTAATGAAAACAACACATTCCCATGGAAAAGACTGCACGGTTGAGTCACTACTAATTAAATGTGCTTAGGAGGCTGCACAACAAAAGGCATGATGAGGGTTTACTCGTTACATCCTGGTACTTGTAGGTCAAAACAGCTAAGCACACAACAGAGTAATCCTACTTCCCCTTGTGAGTGAATTAAAATAGCTGATAGTTTGGACTTGCAATAAGAGCTAAGATGGATTTCTGTTAGTTTCATCATGGTGTTATTACCTGGTTTAATAGTTTGTTACAATCAATTCAGCATCACTAATTTGTAGTGCGTCTCGACATATCTTTTGCAAGTGTTGTACATGTCATCTATCTGATTTAACATCTAAACATTTTGTAGAGTTAGAAACTCGATGGGTTATTCACCCACTTAATGATGCATTGCCCTTTTTGGACGAGTACTCCCTTGGTTGTTTATCATTTAACATATTAACAGTACTAATGCCATTTAGCTTATAAATAAAATACTAATACCATGTATTCTAGTAATCAATACATTGATTACTCAAATTGTGTACTCTGTTGTCACCTGCTTTTTGCTAGAGTTATAAGTCATTGCTTATGCCATAGTGAGTGGTCCCTGTGGACATGATTATTAGTCTTATATTTTAGATGCCTATGCCATTAAAAAAAAACTAAAATATGCCTATGCCATTAAAAAAAAATTAAAATGCTTGATAGAGAACTATTTATGTTACTTACGTAAAAGATTCATAATTAGGGTATTTGCTTGTGATCCCAAATTGCTATGCTCATGTCTTGTGAATTCCTTTAAGGTGGTTTTTGAGGGGTGATGTGTTATGTCAAAAGATAATTTATAGGAGTTGGACCAATTTCTTTGTTGAATATCCTTCATGCTGATTTTAGCCCTATGAATGAATTACCCAAATCTTTTAGAAGGGATGACTTCCAGTTGAATTTTGTGAGGTTTACTTTTCACATGGAATATTTAGGTAAGCTTTAAAGTTTCCATGATGTGTTTCATCAGTAGTGTCTCCTTAGATAGTTTGATTCATTTTCAAATGATTAGAAGGATTATGCAATTTTATTTTCAAGCTATAATTTTGCAGTAAATTAGTAGGACTCAGCTGTTGGAAATTATTTAAAAAGGGTTACAAATTCCGCAATTAAAGTTGTTTTAGAATTGTTTACCAAACGGGTAGAGTCGTTCACTTCATCAAGTTGAAGTTGACGTAAGTGTAAATGAAATTCCCATCACAGGGTTTCCCCAACATCAATAATTTCCTTTTGATGGCCGTGGTGTCCGGGCCAACTTTCGTGCACCTCGACTAATTCTACAGGATACCTTACCACCTCCCACCAGCAAAAGGTACCGGTAACTCTGTACACCAATGCTAGGACAGATGCGAGCATTCATTTTTATATAAAATTAGGCAAACACTATGGGGGTGGTTATAGTGGGTGGGAGGGAAGGAGGGAGTGGGGGTAGGGTTGAAACTGTCAGTTTGGGAGTTGGTGAATGTTTCCCCTCTTGGTAGAGAAGGCATCATTCTGAAATTGTTGAAAAATGAGTTTATGAGGAAAACATTTTTCCAAACATATAAACCACCCAATCATGGAAAAATTGGAAACATGTTTCCTCCATACCAAACACACCCTCAGCACCATTAATTATAAAGGAATTGGTAAAGAGGCTTAGCTATCAATTAGATGACTTGTGATTCAAAATTATAATGATAATGAAATGACTGCTTTATTGTTTTGATAAACTCTTCGTAAGCAGATACTATTACAGGATTTTGGGCCAGGAATTAATACTCTCATCAAGAAGAAAAGACTATGAACTGCCACCACTGTTTTGAATGTGAAATTTCATAGTCTAAGTCCTTTTCAAGATTGAGGCAATTTCACCTCAAAATCCTTTGATAATGATCATTAGCTGTCTATAACTTATTAAAAAAGGTTGCAACCATACGGAGTTCAAATTCTTCTAGAGCCTGAGTATATATAGTAGGTTGAGAATTTGTATCCAAAATATTGTATCTTTTTGTCACGACTTACTTGTTTAGCATGTAATCTTTTTATTTTTAGACACGTTTCGCGGTCTCCTCATAGCAAGCACACTCAGCGCAGGCGTTCTCCTTACCCTGCTAGTGAAAGCATCAGGTATCTTGTTGGGTGTTCTTATATTTCTCTTGATATTTTTCAACTTAGTCATCCATCAGCATAGCTAAGAACATACTGATACAGGTGAACTAATCTAATAGATGCACTTCAGAAATTCATCTTGTTTATAAATTGGTCCGTGTAATTGCAGGGGAAGGAGGTCAAGGTCGAGATCAAGATCAAGGTCTCCTAATCGTAGGAGAAGATGAGCAAACAAATACCTGGAGTCAAGATAGAGTACTTAAGACTAATGCCCTTGCATATTCTTATTGGCTACCGCTTTTGGCTGTTAAGTAGATAATGGATGCATCAGTTGACCTGTTCGAAATCCTCTGTACTGCCTTTGGCTGTTAAGTATGACAATAGATATGCAAGTTGACCTATTAAAATCTCGGTTTCAGATTGTGGCTCACAGGAGTAAAGCTGCGATACTCTCGTGCAGAGGACTAATGATATGAAAGATTTATGGTGCCTGTATCTGTTATCAGCTTGTCTGTTGTTGACATTTGCGACAGTATTAGTTATGATTTTGAGGTTGATAAATTTTGTTAGCTGTACATTGTATTTTGGAGGTTGAGGTGTGTCTAAAGGAGAGGTGAACGAACACTTGAACATCCATGACCTTTTTACATTTGGTACTAGTAATCTTGGAAGTTGGGGAGTCCCAGATCCTCATTGTTATGCAATCTTATATAATTCTACATAGTTTCCTTGTGAGAAAAAAAACATAATATTGATGAAGAAGAGCATTGTGTTTCCGGAGAAGTGTATTTATGCTAATTCCTGGACATGCTTATATTGAAAAAATGTCAGCTATTCAGTTGTGATTGCTCCCCAGGGGTTGCCATTTTATGATAGGGATGGCTGATAAATGTTCCATGTAAAGTATAAATGCCTGTCAAAAAAGGAAAAGAAAAACTTGGTGGAGTGTGGATCAACTTAGAAACTGTAATAATTTTTAGAATGTGTATTTCATTTTTGTTAATCTCAAAGCAAAGGGACTGGGAAAAACTTAGAATTGTTAATATGTTTTTGTGTTCTTGTATCAAACCATACATTATTATTAGCATGTTTTTCAATTTAAAAGCAAATTAGATCTACAAATGTTTTAAAATTTGCTTTAAATTATAAATTATTTACTTGTATTAGGATGTAATGAGGTTTAATATATTTGGATTAATCAAGTTGTATGTCAATTGAGGAAATCCTCTCATTTGATGTTTGTGTCTGCATTAAGTTGAATCTTTATTTCTATTTTTTAGATCTTCAATTTTCGAAAAATTCACCATGGTTGATACCAATTACTGACCATCAACCCACAGTTCTCAGTTTTACTCTGATCTGTGTATATTGAGGTATGCTTAAGTTAAGATCGTCACATTACCTCGAACTCATAATGAGGCAAGTGTAATGGAGAAAGGAAGAAAATATAATACTTAGAACTTGTTTGGCTCAGCTTAAAAGCTGGTCAAACTGACTTAAAAACTGTTTTTTGATTTATTTAACTGTTTGGCAATACTAAAAAAAAACTTATTTTAAGCCAAAAGTTAAAAGCTGGGGTAGGGGTGTTTTTTTTTAGCTTATAAGCTGTTTTAAGTTGACCACATTTTTATGTTTTTTCCCTTAATATTTTTATACAATCTTCAAATTACCCATATAACCCTAACATCTCTTTGTTCTATTTTTCCCTTTTCACGTTTGGCATAACAACTTCAGCACTTTTATCCAAACGCATAACTGTTTATTTTAAAAATAAGTTTCAACACTTTCAAAAGTACTTTTTAAAGCTGCTTTTATTAAGCCAATCCAAACGGGCCTTACTCCGTCTAGTCCACTATTCTAAAAATAGATTTTTCACTTTTGACATATCATTTTCTATTTCCATAATGAAGGATTGTAAGTTGAAGTTCCACTTCCAATTTGATAGTTGCATCTGCACTCATTCACTCACCATTAAAATAATAACTACTTAGTGAAGAAACGTTGACCCTTAAAACCTACGGCTGCCTAACGCATAATGCCTCACATGCTTTTAACTTCCCCTTCTCCATTTCCATGCTTTTCCCACGGCGTTGCTGCTGCTGCTGCTATTGTCAACTTTTTCACTTATTATCGACTTTTATTCCCTTAAAGCTCCACAAATCATGAACCCCTTACTTTCACAAACAACAATGAACTCCTTTCAATCTATTCTCTTCCATTATCTCCACAACAAGAAGGTACATTTTCAACAAAGCTTACATCTTTATGCATTTACTACAATCAAGATTCATTTCTTTCTCAATTTTATGCTTTTACTATGCTTATTGCCACTCAACTTCAACAAAGTTTTCAACTTTAATATGCTATTGTGTTCTTTATCCCCTTTCTGTATTTACTATGCTATTATGTTCAACAAAGCTTTTAACTTTATGTATTTACTATGATCTTGTATTCTTTATTCTCAAATAAATGTTGATTTTTCTTTGTCTTCTCTCTTTTGGTGGATTTAACAGGCAAAGCTTCTTGGGTTGTGGTTGATTTGGGTATGGGGTTTTATCTTGATTGGCGTCTCCTTTTATGCTACTCAATTTATGCCATTGCCATCTTATTTTAAAGGTCAGATAAAGAAGACCATGCTTTTCAATGGTGAATTGGTGGATGGTCCTAGTATTACCATATTTACAGCGCCAAGGCCTTTTGTGGGTACTGTTGGGGAAAGACAGGCTCTTGCTATTCGATCTTGGCTTGGCTTGTCACCAGATATTAGTGTTGTTCTTTTCAGCCAAGACTCTTCTGTTTTCTCCTTTGCTGAATTATTCAGTCACAGGGTATCAGTTGAGCCTAACATCGATTTCACGTATGATTGTACTTTGTTTTCTTAGTTAGTCTCTTTTATGCAAGTACTTTTTGTGTTTTCTCTGGGAAATAAAGTTACAAACTATATTAACCATAATAGTCAAATCACCTTGATGGATATGTTTGTTGTTATAGTGGGACGTTTTGGGACTTGACTGTTATTATGGATAAAGTCGAGTTACTTTAATAGGACTATAGGAGAAATGTTCGTTTTCTTTCCCATTATTGTCCGTAAAGTTAAGTTCTTACTTAAACGAGACAAAAGTAGTTTTGTAATTTTACGATTAACATGGATAAAGTTAAGCTCAGTAATCATACCTGAAATTTAATTGTTTTCTTGTTAGTTAGCGATTTTGACACAGTCAATCTGCATAAAAAGGGACTTATCCTGTGCACAAATTGCTTTTGGTTAGTAAGAGGAGAGTGGGTATATACTGTTTGCAGTATTCCCTTTGCATTTCTGCAAAGAGGCTGGATATAATCTCTGGCACTATGCTGATACTGGAATTTTTTAATGCCAAAAAGTAGGACTTCTAAATTAAGTTTGGTTTTGAACTTGTAATTATATCTCCAATGGTCGTACATGTTTATAAATAACACAAACATTGAGCATACACAGAGAAATAGGATATAGTCACAGTTGTTGGTTAAGTTACTTTATGACAAATGGTCCAAGTTGGTATTTCACCCCTTAGTATCAGGATTAAGCTTACACATTGTATGTAGATTGACAAATGTATTTTGCATCAAACAATAACTTTAGAGCTTAGTAGCTGAATGAAAGAGTTTGAGAAGAGGATCAATTTGGTGATCACTTTGCTAAGAACCAGATTTATTGGGTTGTATGTAAACTTACATTATTTTTGTCAGTTTTAGGTTTTAGTTTTATCTGGAAATTTTGAGCTGTTACTATAATTTTTATTTTAGGTTCCTAGGCACACCATTTTTTCATTCCATGGTTGCAAGGTCAAAAGCATCTTCTTCAGATGTTTCTGTTGTGATTGATCCAAACACTGTACTCTTGTCAGACTTCATTAAAACTATCAGACATGCTCATAGACTTGATCATGATTGGCTCCTTTTTTCTTCATCAAAAAGTGTGCCCCACTTCCCATTTCACTTGGATGCAGATGGAAAACATTGGATCCGAGATGATGGAAGCCGAGTGAAGACCCAAAAGGTATGGTTAAAAAGGGACCATACAATTGATTTGGACAGGATCAGTCTTGACTCTTGAGGAAACTTCTTAATTTGAGTATGCTGTTCCTGTAGTTGCAGGATTTCCTTTCACAAGAATGGGAATGGAACCTTTGTGAGGAAAAAATGCTAATAGCATGGAACAGTGGAGATCTTCCCTTGCATAAAGGAGTCCTTCCCCCTTTTCTATATGGGAAGGGGCTTCATAATCGCTGGCTTATAAATGAAGCCCTGCTATCTGATTTCAGATTTGTTTTTGATGCTAGTTGGGCCATTTCCAATCTGTACCTTAATGACCTTGGCCAGGATTTCGATCGCACCAGTGGCAATTTTCTTGGCCTGGCTACTGGAAAAAGGTTTTGGGAAGTCGCTGGCAATTCCAATTTGGCAATGCTTTATGGATCATTATATTTCCATGAACAGAACTTCTCTAACATATTTAGACTTTTTCAGTGTGGAGGATACTATCTCTTCATAAACTCCGCACAAATGGTTGTTTACCCTTTGAGTTATAAAGGATCATCGAGTTTAGGAAAAGAAGTTATGTTCAAGTCAACAATAGAGAAGAATACTTTAGAGTGCATTGATACTATCAGATCAACTGAGGGAGCTAAGGACTGCTCTGTGAAGAACTACTTGAATGTGTCGATGCCAATTTCACTTTCCTTGTCTTTAGAAATATTACTCTCACTTCGTGCAGACAAAAATAAGACAGTTGTGCTAGCAGTTGTTGGGTATAGTTACAAGGACATGCTAATGAGTTGGGTCTGCAGGCTAAACCATCTCCAGATCTCTAACTTTTTGGTCTGTGCTCTTGACGATGATATATATGAGTTCTGTGTCATGCAGGTAAACTATTTTGTTTGTTAACTAATATTCTCCACGCTAAATGTGATTGACAGGTTAAACCATTGCTGCATCTTAGTAATAGCTCACAAACTTATCTTCCCGCCTAATATGCCTGCCATTTATTATGACTACCTCAATTTCTTGGGAACACTATATGTCTGACCCCATATACAGAATGTTAAGATGTCATCCCCCTCCCTTCTGTTTTACCAGTTACTAAAATACTAAGATGAACTTGTGTTTCTAGGGTCTACCCGTCTTCAAGTATGCCAATCTTGAGACGAAGATCAGCTTTGACAACTGTCATTTTGGCACTGAGTGCTTTCAGAAAGTAACCAAAGTCAAGTCCAGAATGGTTCTGGAGATACTGAAGCTTGGTTACAATGTATTAATGAGTGATGTTGATATTTATTGGTTCAAGAATCCACTCCCCTTGCTTAGCTCGTTTGGCCCTGCAGTTCTTGTGGCACAATCAGATGAATACAAGTTGACAGGTATTTATGTATTTCCCTTTGAAGGACACTATCTTTTTTTTGTTGAATCCTGTGATTTGGAGTACTAAAAAAGTACTCCGTTCTTTTCAATTTGTTTGTCTGGTATTGACTTTTGAAAGTAAAGAAACTTTTGAATCTTGTCCTCTTAATTAAAGATATGTAAATGTACCAAAATGCCCTTTACTCTTGTGGTCTTAGACATGCCATGCAGAAAGTTGAAATAAAATAGTTGCCAAAAAGGAAGGAGACATTCTTTTTAAAACGGACTAAAAGGAAAGTAAGACATTTCAGGGAGTAGTTAATTAGTGGGATTAATTTTCAAGAGGAAGATATCTACTTATAGCATGCTTGTGTGTTGGAAGATAAACTGTTACCTGCCACTTGATTTAAGCTAAATGTCTCTTTATTTGCACATATGTATGGCTCAACTACAGGACCTATAAACTTACCTCGACGTCTGAATTCTGGGTTCTATTATGCTCATTCGGATGCTATGACTATTGCTGCACTTGAGAAGGTCGTGGAGCATGCAGCAAACTCAAATCTCTCTGAGCAACCAAGCTTCTATGATATGTTGTGCGGGGAAGGTGGATATAATCGCATAGATGACAGCAGATGCTTAGAACCTCACACAAACCTGACCGTTCAATTCCTGGACAGAGACCTCTTTCCAAATGGTGCATATAAAGATCTTTGGCAAGAAAGAAATGTGAAGGAAGCCTGCTTGATGAAAGGTTGTTTTATCATTCATAACAACTGGATTAGTGGGAGAAGGAAAAAGCTAGAACGTCAAGTGCCATCAGGGCTCTGGGAGTACGATATGAGCACAAGGATGTGTTTGCAGACCTGGCACAAAACAAAATTTGTATATTTTTGAAACAGAATATACTTGGATACTTAATCATGGAAGACTTTGGTTTTTGCCGGTTGAGGAGAATACAAAGAGATTTTATTGTTGGGGGATATAATTTTCTATTTGGCCTTTGGAGTTATCACTTATCATTTGAGATAATGTTAAAACTCATAATGGCTGGCCTAGAGAAACAAAATATGTTATTATGCTGGAGACTTGTTTATATAGAGATATCTGACAGCAACTACACTCCTAGTTTTCTGTTTCTGATCCAAGATGCTGGTAACTGTTGTAGGGGCCTTCTAATTGCTGGAAATGCTGAAGCTTTGTGGTAACAAGTCAGGAAGAGGCCAGAATACTGACAGAGAATCTGAAAAAAAGAAAAAGTTGAAGGAAACTGATTCTTTTAGCCTGAGTTTGCAACTTAAGGATATCACAGTGCGGATAGTTCATCCTGGTGGGAAGGTAGATATGTACGACTGTGCCATTTCTGCAGCTCAGTTATTAAAGAACTATCCAGGAAGGCATGTAGCTCTGCCAGACTTCTTCAATCGTCCCCATGAATCTCTTCTCACTGCAGATGATATTCTATTGCCTGGGCAAAAATACTTAGTAATCCCGTCTAGTAGTGTAGAGAAACTGAAGCAAAGACACACTCATAAAGCAAAATATCCCACTGAAATCGAGGAGCCTAAGTATGATCGGGAAGTAGTTGTGAATGTAAACGGAGATTGTTCAGAGGACTCTATCACTTTCGCAAAGCACTTCTATGCCTCCAAAGAGAAATGGTCTGGTTGGTTATGGAAGAAAATGCAGCAGGAGAAGAAGCCATTTGTACCTCCTATCCCGACTCTGAAATCATGGAAGGATTCGAGATGGGAACCTAATCTAGAGTCAATAGAGGAGATTTCTCCATAAGTATCCCTTTCACCTGGTTCTCAACCCGTTTAACTAGAACCAAAAACATCTGGTATGTCAATTCTCTTATGCTGTTTTAACTGCAATGGTCTATCTTTTGCTAGGAGAGTTCATGGTCTTCTTGTATCAGTTTTGCAAGATTTGTGTTCTTTTTTCGTTCTTATTTCTTAATTCTTATGAGTCATTACTTTTATTGGTTACAAATGTTACCTGCTGGAAAACAGCTGGACAGACAAGGAAGGAGAAACCTTTGTACTATGTAATATACCACATAAACATTCACAGCTCTGAATATCCAAGAAATAAAAGTATCTTCATTTTTTATAATTATCACAATATTTCCTGTTTAAATTATGCATGCACAGTGTGATCAAATTGGACAACATTAGATTTTAATCATTTTGTCGAAGTTAGACTGATCTCTTTACTTGTATAAAGAACACAGACCCACTATCAGACATTAGTGTGCCTCCTCATTTTCTCGTGTTCCCTGTACTGCCTTCCTTTATTCCACAGACCCACCTCAGACCGTATTTTTCGTTACTCATATGAAATGGCCCTACTACCTGTGCTTTCAGTCTACAACATCTTAATTTTTAGTCTCTTGTTAATTGGTAACTGGAGTGCTAACCTACTGGTCCCAAGTATGTGAACAATGGTTTCAAACTTTAATGTCGAAGATCAGCTACCTGACATGGAAGTAAAATTAGTGGTGAATCTAATATATAAATTTTACGGGTTCAACATCTAAGGTTGTTAGTGTTGAACCCATTATATGTTTAAAGTTATGAGTTCATATCTACTATTTGTTGCTATTTTTGTGAATGTTTACATATATATTTATGCTCTGGTTTTGAAAGTACTAGGTTCAGATGAATCCGGTATCGGTATAAGCTACATTCACTTTTGAGTAAAATACAAAGAAAAAATCACATTTGCTCAAGTCCAACAGAAAATTTAGAAGCTCATGTAGGATCTTTTGGTTCCTGAACCACCTGTTTGTATTACAGTCACCATAGATGTACTTGGGATGCTGTCAATATTATCCTTGGTTTAGTACTCAGGCGTTAGTAAGTGAATTCATGCGCTTTAACTTCTTTATATTCATTAGCTGTAGAGAAAATATCTTTTGAGGCTTAAATATTTTAGAGAAACTTTATATTTGGTGCTACGTCCATTGGCAAATTTTAATGGTTGCTGATATAGCTTGATCGAAACATTTAGTGTGGTCTCGAGAATTTTTGGAAGTTGTTCTATGTTGTAGAATACAGCTTGAGCTAAGACCAACTGAAGCAATAGTTTAAGTAGCAAAATTCATAGGAAAGCAAATTGCTAACAGACAACAAAACAGATTCCTTGTTCTTCGTCCAAACGAATGGACTATCACTCTCTGCTCATAGATCAATGAGGTTAAAAAATTGCAGTTCTCAAATCACGACAGGAAGTCCATCTTTGTGTTTCCTAATTAATCACATACACCGAGAAGTTTGTGCTGCATTGTCTGTTAATTTACACTCAGAGCAAGTATGACAAGAGCTTAGTGAATATCCATGTGTAAATAACAGCAAAGGTAGCACCAGCTGGAATTGTCACTGCCCAGGAAGTTGCAATCTCTCTCACTGTCTCTGCTCTTACACTGTTAAATCCTCGAGCAAAACCAACACCCATGACTGCTCCCACCAAGGTATGTGTGCCTGAGATTGGTAAGCCCAGCTTGGACGCGCACAAAACCACAGATGCGGCTGCAAACTCAGCTGCAAATCCCCTGGTGGGTGTTAATTCTGTTATCTTCTTTCCAATAGTTGCAATCACTCTGTATCCCCACATTGTTAGTCCTGCCACAATTCCAAAGCCTCCCCATGCTAGAACATCATTTGGAATAACAATATCAGCTGCACTGAGCCCACCTTGAAGAATGGATAATGCTGCAGCCAATGGCCCTATTGCATTGGAGACATCATTTCCACCATGAGCAAATGACATGAAGCAGGCTGATAAGACTTGCATATAGCCAAAAACGCCATAAACTATTTTCAGTTGTGTTCCTTTAGGACCTGCAATGTCTGAAAGAAATCCAATGTTTTTAGTGTCAGTAGTTTCTGGTTCTTTTGAACTGGCCTTGGCCAGGAGGTGGCCAAGTTGGCCCCGGATGATCCTGTCAACTGCAAATGCACTAATGGCGCCACAAGTTATAGCCTGGCCAAGAGCTAGATTCAAAGTCTTGCTCAAAGGGAGAGCTACGAAAGAGATTCCAGTGACACCAAGAAAGACAGAAATTGGTGCAGCTGTTGCAGCCGCTTTTCCTGGGTTCCGAGCACTGTACACAAACTATAAAAAGTAAAAGAAACACCAGGATTAGGAATTGCAAGTTGGATTAAGAAAGTCTTGTGACTAGAGCCTGATACAGAGTATGCACATCAGAAGAACATACCCTCCGTATGCATTTGTACACGAGAAAGGACACCACTGCTCCCAGTAAAGGTGAGATAACCCATGAGGAAATTACCCTTGCCAGTGAACTCCAAAAGACTGCACCAGTTCCCCCATAAACAAGACCAAAACCAACCATGGATCCTACAATACAATGTGTTGTGGATACTGGCAAACCATAATATGATGCAACCTGAGCAAGAAAACAAGGAGCTAACCAGAAACTTCATACGAGAGTACTTGGCGAATTGCTAAATGGACAACAGTGTTTCATCTGTGAAATGCATGATCAGATAGATGCAGAGTGATATAATGGAGATTCATCTGAATGAAACATGAAGGGAAGGCAGAGGTTCTAGTTAATACTTATTAGCCATTTTTTGGCAATTATAGTCTAAAAAGTTATTCCGTCGGGCAATTTGTAGTCTCTGTTTCCCATGCAATTTGAACTGAAGTTACATTTGTGTCATGTGAAAACAACCAAGAAGTTACATGTGAAATGTTGATGTTTACTATTTGTCAGCTCGGGCTTATGATCAACATTGATAGTCAAAACACAAGTATTTGTTAATTAATTACTTATGCCATTCCCATAAGAACATAAAATAAAGTTATGTCAAGCACATCTATTAAGTCTATCCATAGTTGATTTGGATAATCTATGCATCATCAGTACAAGGGAGCAATTTGCCTAAGTTGTTCTTAGTTTTATCTAGTGACAAGAAACTCAAGACGACTTAGGGGTTGTTTGAACGAGGGATAATAATCCCGTCATAAAATGCTGGACTATTTTATGGGATAGTCACCAATGTAATCATTCAGCCATCTGGTTTACCAAAAATGGCCGAAGTAGACACTACATAATTTTCTGTTATATTATCCGATATATATGGTGGGATAACTAATTCCACGGATATCCCAATCCATGTGATAACTTAGTCTACCCCAATGCCCATACCAAACAACCCCTTAAAGGTCAGGCATTTCAGTGGGTTTCCCATTCATGTCACTGATTCATTTTTTAGTTTTTATTTACAGTAGTGTTCAGTTGCCTCCCGTAGCGGCTAGAACAGGTTTCCGGTAAGTTCGCTCATCAAAACTTAGGCAAATAGAACAAGAAATCATCTACTGGTTGATCTTCAGGAACTTTTCTGACTTCATTAACCCCTAAGCCACACTTGTGTTAATTAGTACTTGTTTAAGTTCTATATACTTGTGGTATATGTGAAATATACACAATTATGTTACTTGTAAAAGGTACTTGCTACTAACTCTATTTAAAAGCATATTCATCAGTAGTCTATACTAAAGGGAATGCACCTGCAACCATGTCCCTGCAGCAGCCAAGGAAGAAAGCAGACCAGCAAATAGTAAAGTATCTTTTCCTTGGAAAACATTAGCCACAAGAATACCCTTCTGCATTGTATTAGTAACATGTGTTCCCATTAACAGTGCCCCTGAAAATTCAAGAACACCAGCCATGACAACGGCTTGTCGGAGACTCAACGCCCCTGAACCAACAGAAGTTCCCATGGCATTTGCCACATCATTAGCTCCAATATTCCAAGCCATGTAAAAACCAAACAAGATTGTTACATATGACAAAATTTTGTACTTGAATCCCAATCCTTGACCCAATGACTTCATGAAAAATGGCAAAATCAGTGCAGCTAATGCAATGCATATTGATATAGCAGAAGCTGTTCTTGAAGATATATGAAAAGCTTGTGCCATTCCAGGTAACTCATCTTCATCCTCAGAGGAAATAGTATTTTCTTGGTGGGATTTGATTTCAAAGTTCTCACCTTTTTCATCATCTGATTCAGCAAAAGATGATAAAGCAGCAAAAGGGTGTTTAAAGCTGGATTTTTTCAGTCTCAAAAATGAAAAACAACATGTTTGTGGCTTGAGTACAAGAAAATCTTTCTTGGGAAACTGAGTTTCATTGGTAAACACACAAAGCCTCTGTCTTGGAAAGAAAAGATTAGAATTATTAGCTACAAATTTAGTAGAGTTTCTAATAGAACATAAAGAGTAGGAAGAAGTCATGACTTTTCAATTTTTTTTGTTTGTTGATAAAATAGTAAAGTAGAGTAAAAAAGAGTGTTATTGAGGCAGATTCTTGGCCATGGGAGTAATATGAAGATGAAGAATTTTGTGACAGAACAATTTGCATAGTGTGTTTTTGTTCCCAAATGGAACAAAAGCTAAGGGTGAGAATGGATTGGGATGCTAGTTGGTTCTATTTGTAACGAGTGGTGGTCATAGCTTCTCTAAATTGGAATTTCATCAACATGACCACTAGTTTTTCAACTCTAAATGTGACACATTTTTATTTGGAATCTTGTTTTATTACTGATGGTAGGCTATAAATACTAGTTTTTACCTTTTTTCTGAAAATATTATTTACTATTTTTTAATTAAATTTGAAGTAATATATGATGAATTTATATTCATTTATGCATATTTTATTGTGTCATTGTGTAACATGTGTTTTTAAGATAACGGACGAGTTTGAAATTAAAACAAATGTAGAAAGTTTAAACAAGAAAAACTGTCTTTATTATTGGTCGAGAGAGACGTAAATAAAAGAAATTGTTATGATCTTCGAGATGATTGAAGAAAGTTGTACTAATTAAATCATATAGAAATAATCAAATAATGAAATGCTCCAAATAGTAAAATATGTGCTATACAGTAAGAAATTCAAAATTTTCATTAAGAATGTTCGGAAATTAAAAAACATAAATGTAGCCTCGTGAAAGGCGCGTGAACACATTCGTAATGAGTATGAGTTTAGTAGGTGTACTAGTAAGGAAGCGAGGTACTGAGTTTAGCGTCGGCAAGGCAAGTAGTGGATCTTTATTATCGAATGATATGGGAGACAGTCAAAGCATC